CAAAGTCAAACGAAACCTATAACCAAAACAAAATTACATAAATTATTGCATTCACAACTCTTAGCAAACAACATGCATATAAAATGATCAAGGTTTGACAAATGAATAAAATCGAGTAGAAACTCCTTTTTGATTTAGGAATATAAACGAGAACATGATCATAGCCATATATATAATCAACTTGCTTCTATTCCTTGTTCTTCGAATGCTCACACATTGCACAAATAGAAGGATGTTGTATATAGAGAGAACCATTAGCCTCATGAAAGTGACTTCTACCATTTGCATCTCAAGTGGCCTCATGAACCGATCTTCTAAACATTCATCATCAGGGACATGAATAACCTATGACACGAATTGCTTCGAAGCACTCGACACTAAGAGTTAACCAAAAAGAATAAAATACTTGAGTGTGACAAGCTTTAAAAATATTTAAATCATAAATTAAAAAAATATATTTGTATTAGTCTTACGTGATTTTGCATACCAGACACTTAGGAAGCTTGATTTATGATCAAGTCGTAAGACCTACAACTCCAAATAAAATAACAACCCACCCTATCTTGATTTATGATCAAGTCATAACCCCATTTCAAAAAATAAAGCGATACGAGCTCACACCCCTTCTAAGGTTTGTTAGCACTCCCGCACCCCCTAGGGGTTCGCATGTGCTTGCACACTGCTATCGCGCTGATGTCGGCTGATGGCCTCCATCACTTTCGTTTGTGGATCCTCTAGTTTTTTTTTTTTTTTTTTTTTTTTTTCATAAGCCTTTCTCTCCGAATAACTCTCTCTTCGATCATGTGGATGATCTGAAGAGAGAAGAGGTCATAGAGCTAAGGCATACAATGACGAAAACAAACAAAAGAAACATGTCGGAAGCTTTTATGAGGTGCACTCTGCGTAGATAGCTCCAAAGTGTATGTCCGAGATAAGATCGACTTAAGACACTTCAGAGCCATACTCACGAAGATGACCTGACGAAAACAAACTCACAACTAGACTTTTGTTTGTAGGAGAGATTCCAACAGCTGAAGGAGAGCTAATCCCAAGCATCAGAAGGTATTACATCCAAGCGCATGATCCTTCTGAGTGCAACTTATAGAGGGTGGCTACTGGGGTGAAGAAGAAGGGTCGAGTCTACGGGATCGGGTCACAATGTTTGCCTACGACACTCACCCCTCTACTAGTGCATATGCAGATTCTACCTCTACCGCACAGGATGAGGAGATCTCCAGGCATGTTGCGTCATTGTCTGCTGAGAGGGAGACCTGCTTCTCTCAAATGTCGTCGGAGCTAGAGGTGAACATGGAGGCCAAGCTGAATGCTGAGTTGGATTCTTTCCGGCAACAAACGAGAGAGCGTGACAAGGTAGCGACAACATTAGAGGAGAAGGGAGTGTGCAAGGTAGTGACAGAAGACGATGAGGATGCGGTTGACTAGATAAATGAGGATGATCAAGAGGGGCTTTTATTTATGTTTATGCACATTTGGACAAAATTTTTCTCTGAATAGTGATGTACATATTTTAGAATAAATGTACTTTATTTATTTAATAATTTGATTAGATAATTTACTGTTTGACAGTTATGTTATTTTATTAAATACTTGGAATTGTTTATTAAATGTTGTGATAGTAAGTGTGGTGATGTAAATAGAAAAGAAAGAATTTATTTTTTTTTCTTATGCTATAAATTCTGATGGTTTATAATCAATTTTGGGACAATTCTAAACTTATCCATATGAAAAATCGTCAGCTAATACATATTTTTGTCGGTGCCTAATCGACAAATAATCGACGGCTCAAGTTGGTCACACAAAAACAACAAGCGTGAAATTTTTCTGACTGTTAACCTGCCAGTTATAAAAAAAGACACATAACCGACGGCTTTTACGTTTGTCAAAAAGCCAACGGGTGTGATACTTTTACGACAGTTAACCCGTCAGTCTTAAAAAATTACACCCAAACGACATATAACCTACAATTTGTCTACTTCAAAAAATCGATGTGTGCGTCACTTTTCTGACGTGTATGTCGTCGTTATTACTGAAGGAAGAACCATCGGTTATACAAACCGATGATTACCAACGACTCAAATTTTCTAAAAAAAAACTACGAGATTAAATTATTAAATAACCATTGGTAAATTTATACCGTCAAAATATCGATCAGTTTTAGAATTACCTATTAGTGTTCTGACTATGAGCTTAAAACCGTCGATAACATTGAAAGCCACCGTTAGTCTCAGCATAATCGACAAATTGTGACCGTCATAAAATGCCTAAATTCATGTAGTGATCTTGAGTTATGGAGGAGTAAACTTTGGCGTGGCATGTTCATCTAGAACTTTTAAGACAAATGAATGAGCATGAATAATACTTCTCACATTGGTAGACTAATAACAATATAAATTATTTTTACCCTCATTAAAGTAAGAAATATGATGGGAGTGATATTGTTAAGCAATTGGAGTATCATTGAGAGCTTCAAAATTGACAACTTGAGTGATCTTACATTGTTATTCATGAATCTCACTAAATTAGGCACTTTTAATTTTCTTTTAGTAATGAAAAAAATATAAGTCAATGATGGAACAAATTGAAATCAATGTGAACAATTGCATTTATAATTTAGGAATTAAAACTTTGAAAGGTATTTTAGTGTTTTTTTTTTCTTTTTGAGATATCTCACTTATCCTAACAAATATTTGAATAATATAGATTCCTTTCATTAAATAGGAGAGGTTTTTTTTAATCAAACATCTTATTTTGTCTTTATTTGTCATTGATGTTCTATGAATGAAGTTCTTATTAGTAAATTCAAGCCTTACAAAATTTTCAAAATATATTGCCAAATGTCCTAAATAATATATTATATCCTTTGTGATAATATTATTTATTGTCCTTTATAATAAAATAATGATTAATAAAAAATGAATTAATGCAAATTTATTTATTTCACTTATATAATTTCTTAGTTTGATGCATTAGTGCATCTAAGAAGTATTTATATTAGTGGCAGAAAATTTTATGAAGAGTTAAACAGAAAAATCCTGAAATATGACCATACTAGTATTAAAAGTTTTTTAGTACCATCTCTTAGTTGAATCACTGAGCTTGTTCCAAACACTTTTCACTATACATCATTAGTGATAGTGATTAGAGACAATTACATCATCAAAGATATGAAGATACTCCATATAATCAATAGTCCATCTACACATGTCCAATTTAAGGCTTTCAAATTTAGAATAAATTTACTTCTTTAAAATCTTCGCTAGAGAAGAAGTATGCATAAGTTTTCTAACAACATCATTGAATCAAGTTCAAGCATTTTTCCTTGCTCCACGGAGATTTCAAGTTGGTTATGAGTTAGTTAAGCAAAAGTGTTAGAAATAAATCTATGTGCTAGATCCATGAATCAAAACTTAGAAATTATATCAACAAACTAGGCATCAACATGTGCTTGAATTCAAATATAGATGTGCAAATAACAATAGTAGAATCATAGATTCTGCCTACATGACATTTAAAGGAGCTACTATTGTCATTTAAAGAAATGAGCGATATTGTTCTTATAAGATATAGCTCACTTTTCTTATTATTGGAAATGTTTTTCCTATAAATGATGCTAAATCCAAATAAAATATAAATTTGTCTACTCCAATGAGCAATAAAAGCAATGAATTTTTTTTGGGAATTAAATTACAGACTGGGAAACTTCTTATTCAAACTACTTATAAACAAGTATAACTACAAGAAACAACATATACAATTAATATAGAATTATTGATCCCTTGAGTTGTGCTTAATATACAAAACATGTAAATTTATTTATTGCTATATTCATAGAAAATACAATCAAGATATAAGATAATAAAGGCCATGAAATAAGGAAAAAAACAACAAACATTTATAGCACACTTATGAATGTGAATTTTGCAAGTTTTCGTAAATAAACTTAATTTCAAATGCAATTAGAATTCCAATACCATTCATGAGTAAACATTTGATTTTGGAAGGAATTTCAAGATATATAATTAAATTTATACTTAAATACTTGAATTACATTGAATGTGTTTTAGTTAAAAGTCACATAAATTAATATATATATTGTAGACATCATATCTAGGTTTATGAAAAGCAATTGAGTTGGTATATTATTTTTTAAGTAGAATATTATGTATTAAATAAATATGAATTATTTGTTGAAATATGCTCCAACAATACTATCCTCCAAGGCAGTTATGGTCATTACCATATTAGGTGTTATCAATTCTCACTAAAACTATTAATTCATCATCATGAGTAGCATGTAAAAAAAAAGAAAAAGCTATCCGAGAATACATGATAAAACCTTAAAATGTCATGTGGGTCATTCCAACCAACAAAATACAGATAAGTATGACTACTGATTCTATTCGAGATTATTTGGATTAAGTTATGACCCTTGATATTGTCTTCACCCAAGCACAAATCTAAACAATGCATTGCATGCAATTCGACAATTTTCCAATCTTAATTGCCCCACATTTCATTCTTATGAGCGTATATTAAGGTCATCAGTTAGAAAAACAAATCATATACATAATACTCCTTTTAATATTATGCAACACGCATTGCACCAAATATAAGTCATATTAAATACAAAAAAAAGTTAATAGGTTCAATGATTCATGCCAATGCTATACAATGATAAATAACTAAATATTGAAGAATCTTTCACTCTTATAAAATTTTTGATTTAATCAAATGATGCTAAGTTCATAATCATCCAAAGCATGAAATTATTATGATGATCTTATAATAGCTATCATCATGGAGAATAACAAAATTTAATTGAAATTGCTTTAAAAAATCAAATGAAATGGTATTATTGCATGGCATGAGATGTGCATCAAAACAATCAAAAAATTTTCATACTTAATACCAATTGAAGTACAATAATTCTAATAAATATATATCTAAAAAATAAAAAACTAAGTTTTGCCTATTGTGTCGGCGGCCCTTTCATAGTCCCGTTCCAGAACTAGCGGCCTTCTCTCATCGGACGTATGCGTAAATCCTTACAAAATCGGTTCTCGAAGACTCCAAGAGTCCAAACTTTATCTCTTTGATCCTTTCCTCTCCGCTCAGTCGCTCCTTCAGGTCTCCTTCAACCCTGGCTCTTCGGACATTCGCCGATCCACGTTTAGCCAGTGAATTGACCGCCGCTCGCTTCGTTTCCTCCTAATTCTTCCCAAAGGTACAATTTTTTGTGCGATTTTCTTCATTTCTACTCTGAAAATTATTGTCTGGGTGTAGGATTCGGCTAAGAAGCTTGATTCTGAGGTTCTGTTTGTGCTTATGGCATTAGCTTCTCCCTATAGTGATTTCTGTTTGGAGATTGGTTCTCGATGGTGGGATATTAGCTTTTTTATCAAATTTTCTTGAGAAACTATGTTTTCAATGGGAATAAACCTAGTCATACAGGAGTCCTCGAAGTTATTGCAGAGCTATATTTTTATTCTTTCATGCTTTCGCACTAATTTTTGTTGTAGGGATTGGGATCTGTGGATTGTTTGTTCCAGGTTCTCTCTTTACTGTTGATTTTGTTTCCAGAAATTCATCTTTATAATGTTTGGCAATGAAGTCTCTATTGTTTTATAGCGGACTTAATCTGTAATCCTGTAGAAAACACCAGTTTCTTTTGAGCAAATATTTTTTAGTATAATGTTGGCATCAGCATCATAATATGTCCATAATCGGACCCTCAATCTTAATTCATACATATAGACTGATTTGTAGTTTTTGAGCAGGTAAAACTACTCAATTTAATTCCACCCTTCAGTTAAAATGTGCTTAATTCTGTTCCTTTTTACTGCAGATATCGAACTTCAAAGGTCTTACCTTTTTGGGAGAGATTTGGTTGGGAGACCATGTCGAGTGTTAGGAATACGCACTGGTGCCATAGATGCATGCAGGCCGTCAAGCCTTTCGGGCGGGAGATGCTTTGCCCCAACTGTAATGGAGGCTTTGTTCAAGAACTCGATGACATGGGAGGCGTCATGAATGCTTTTTTTGGAACGGATCCGGAAGAATTTCATGACCATAGATTTGCCCTAATGGATGCCATTGCTTCCATGATGAGGCAAAGAATGGCGGGGAGGGACCGTGGCTACGACTTCCATTCGAGGCCTGATACCATCGCCGGCGATAGGATCGGCTTTGGACCCGGTCCATGGCTTTTGTTTCGCGGCCAGGTTCCGGAGGAAAGAGGCTTTGAGATCCTCTTAAATGGTGGTTCTGGTGCGGGGGTTCGCCGTGCCAACATTGCGGACTACTTCATGGGTCCAGGGTTGGAGGAATTGATAGAGCAGTTGACTCAGAATGATCGGCGTGGACCTCCGCCGGCCGCACGGTCGTTGATTGATTCAATGCCCACCGTGAAGATCAGTCCACGACATCTTCGTGGTGATTCTCATTGTCCGGTGTGTAAGGATAAGTTTGAGTTGGGATCTGAAGCACGTGAGATGCCATGCAAGCATTTGTATCACTCCGACTGCATCGTTCCATGGTTAACTCGGCATAATTCTTGCCCCGTTTGTCGCCAAGAATTGCCATCATATGGAAATTCTCGCTTCGGTTCGAGTAACATCAGTACGAGTGGGAGCGAAAGACAGATGGGAAGTGGCAGTGATTCTGGTGATAGGGAGAATGAGGGGAGGAATCAAGGAAGAAGAAATCCTTTCTCTTTCTTGTGGCCTTTCCGCTCTTCGAACTCTGATGCCGGTTCCTGATAGCAGAAGGGGGAAGGTGTATTCTGGTGAATCAGAGTCTTTTGGGTGAACTTTCTGTACTTTCTAGCAGACTCCTCTTTCTTAAGTGCTTCAAACTTCTCTAATCTTCAGTTGATAAAACCTGGAAATATAATTTCATGTTTTAATGTAATCAAAAACAGCAGCTCTTTGATAATACATTTATTATGTGTTTTTTGTGGCTTGTTTTCCTATAAATGCTTTGTTATTTTCTCTGTTTTATCTCGTGATGTTGCTTTTCAAAATTATGCTTAAAAGCTGTTATTTCTTCCAGTTTGGCTAACTTTTTCTATGGCTTGTGCTTCCATCTGGTATAAATTTAGTTAGGAAATTTTGTTTTGTTTTGTTTTGTTTTTGTCTGTAATAATCTGATTATTGTTTGTTTGTTGTTATTAGTTATTTCATTACTTGCTATACCATTGATTCAGAATGATTAGGGTAGATGTTAGGAATCTAAAATAGATTTTGTATATTAACAGTTGTTTTAGTTGCTTAACCTCCATTTGGATGCATTAGATTGAAGAAAAGTTAAGTTCTCCCAAAATAAGTTTATGTGTTCTCTTCTCTTAATTTTCTCTACCTAGTTTCTGTAGCCCTCGGTATCCTCGAATTGCCGTTTCTTGTATACCAATAATGCGGCTGTATTTTTTTTTTTTTTTTTGAATGTTAGAGATTAGGAAAAATTATAGCATAGAATTGGTTTATTCTGCATGTTAATATTTCATAGGCCTTTCATGATGTCACATTTTCTATTAATTTACTCTAAATTTAAGTAGCAGATGTTTATATTTCATTGCTAGAGCATTCAACTGGATAGTTATTAGAGGCTTAGTTATTTTCATTTATAAATTTTCTGAGAGAGATTAACTTTATGATTACTAATATTTTGTTTGAACTGAAGAAGTTTTTCCTTCACTTTAATGGTCATGCATTGGGAGAATGTTTTGAAATTAATGTGCTGCACCGCGATCGAAGCAAATAGAATAACACGGGTTTACTTGAAAAACTCTTGACATGAAAAATCACTGGTAGAGTAGAAGAAAATTCACTATAATCGAAGAATTACAAAGTTGAGAACTTAGTGACACCATTCTAAATTTCCTAAAAGGTGTTTTAGGATCGAACATTTGAGTTAGAATAGGATTTAAGAAAGAAATTAGGGGCAATTGTTGATTTGGGAGTTAAGACAACAAAATGTGAAGCCGACGTTGGGTAAGTGACGTACGAACGTCAGCAACGGTTGCCTCAAACAATAATAGGCCGAAAACACCGTCGACAACAGCTATCCTAGGTGAGAACAACAAGAACGCTGTTTGGTGGCTACTCAACGTGCACGAAATCTAAGGAGGTTCCACCACATGTTTGCCAATCAAGCTACATACACACCACTTGAAAAGATAAATGTTACATCACTGTAAGTAATCTGAGTAGAATTCTCAATCCAGCATAAATATAAATAAAAATCTCCTCCAATAAGGGTCACATTGTCTCAAGTATAGGCTTGCTTTCTAGCATCATTAAAGCCAGTCTCATTGATCTCTCTCATAACATCTAGAAATATGGCACGAGGCACTAGACTTTTGTTTTCATCTGACTACTCAATGCTGTCGACTCCTTCAATAACAGAAATATAATATGTTTTTTATCCTTGATAAATGAATGTGTTTTTGTGAATATCATGAAGTATGCCCTTATCACACTGATACAATCGGCCCTAAAAGAATGTGACATGCTTCCATAGACATGACATCACACCGCACATGATCATGAAACTTATCTCTAATTGAAAATTCTATCCGACATCTCTTACCTACACACATCTCATTTCCTTTTCTTGAACAAGTCAGAAAATATGACTAACAATATTTCTTGGTAGTGAGGCTTAATTTGTTCTCCATTTATATAAATATTATATTCTTACTACAACTTTTATTTATAATGAGAATGAACACATTTCTCCTTCACAGTACAATGGATATTGAAGTTGTTATACTTCAGCCAGTGTTTGGGTCAGTTTGGAGAACACTTCGAACTAAAAACATGTCATCATCAACAACTGGAAGCTGGTACTTATTTGTGTCATTGCCTTCTCTTGTATCACTATCAATTTCTTCAACTGTTTCTGATTTAGTGAAAGAGATCACCCTCATGGGCAATCGAATATAATATATTCAAAATCGTGACACTTGAAACACTTTATGGCTAAGAATGATTTGGGAGTGCTTGCGATCTCCACTTTTTCTTTACTTTGGATTGATTTAATCGGGAAATGTCAGTTTGGGTGCTCTAATATGTGTATTCTTGCTATTTGATCCCAGGGTTGAGCTGTTTTTGTAAGGTGCGGTGGTCCTCTGGTGATGATGCTATTTTTAACATTCAAAGGTAGGGTTTTACGTCAATTAGGGACTAATAAAGCCACAACTGCTTCACATTACTGATAGATGGATTTGAACCTCCATGATACATTGCCACCATGCGTTCCTTTGGTTCCACCACCAAATCACATTTTATCGTGAGTTGATCAGATTTGGTTGTGCAGTCCTATATGGAAGAATCTTGCTAGTGAAGGTATTTACATTGCATTGATTTTTTTCATCCTGGACAGTGGTAATCTTACTCTTTCTTTCCCGCAGTCGAAGGTACTTCAGATTCTCCCACCACAAAGAAGAGTTTAGCTTTAGTTTTATGATTGTCAATTTGACTGTATTGTCATATGGCACTTCTTTGTACTAAAGAATTAGTTCCACTATTTCGCACGGCTCAATGAATTCATCCGGATCCAAATATTTTTCAAAATCCTGCAAGCCAATCTTCACTTCAAGATTTTGGTCTCTTCTTTGATATTCAAAGTCAAATTATTAGGGTAATGGTTCTTCATTACTTCGAAATTTCTTGTCAAAGTGATTCACTTCTTCCCGAGTTATCATTGTGTTTATGGGTGACATCTTCGAATGATCTCCTCTCAAAGGCGGAAGTTTTTGTTGCAATTGGAAAATCGTTCTTTGCACGTCTTCTATTGTAAGCTCTCATGGACACTTTTTTACATGCTTCTCTTTGGCATCATGGTGTCTCTTTCTTCCAATTAAAGTTTCGGCTAAAAAAGAAATTGTGGTTTATGTTTAGGTTTTTACGAGGATGAGGATGAGGATTTAGGGATAACTTTTTATTGAGGTATTAGATTAGGTTATTTCAATTTTAGGTTTAGGAGTGGGGAAGATAAATCCATAGAAATTTAGAGTTTGACGGGGTTTGATGTCATGTGATAACATTCTAGAATTTTAGGGTCATCCAAAAAACACAACTTTCCCATAATTTTGGCTGCGCCACTGTGGTTATAGTTTGATCTCGTGCAAAACAACATGACAGAATTTTAAAGTCTGAAACTTTTTAAAGTGGTATTTGTTGTTTTAATGTCAATTTTGGAAGGCAAAGGCGTTCAAAAGGAAATTGGCAAACATTTGGAATTTGTTTGATATGAATTACATTTTTTGGTTTTGCTATTAGAAAATTGTTAAAAAAAATTTCTGCCTTAAAATTTATTTATTTATTTTTTGGTGTCAAAAACAACCTACATAAAGCAAACAGCAGCAACAGCAGCAACAACAACAACAACATAAAGCAAATTCTCAGAAAATCGAAAAATTTACTTCTTGCTAGTTGCTTTTTGACAATAGTAGGTAATTAAAAACACAACTGAAGCCTTAGTTTGACGAAATGTGTTTGGAATGATTTACATTCATGAGCTTTTATGAAGTATCAACCATTTAATTGTTCTGTCTACCATGAACACTAATAGAGTTTAAATTAAAATCAATTAGTCAAGTTTGGCTGCCATATAATCAAATCTAAACCCTTACTAATGAAGTATAGAAGTTGTTCATGGCCTTTATACATTAGCATAAGTTTTTGGTTTAATGATGTTCATCTATCAGTATATTCGATTTAGCTCGAGTTTTTTCATATTTCACTCTCTATCAAGCGTTAAAAGAGAACGGGTGGCTATGTGGGTTTTATGGGCGTGAAATTTGGCTATATTGAAAACCTTTGATTTAAGAGGACTGATGACAAGTTAGAATGACTGTCATATTTTGCTCATTCGCTAAAACGTTTGAGTGGATGGGAATTAAATTTTCTAATATATTTTCATCAATTTGGGACATTGACATTACATCCTACATAAAAATAGGCTTTGGATTAATATTATTGACTACTAGAAAATTCTCAATAGTTGAGAAATCTTAAGCCTTAGCTCAGTATAATTGCCCAGTGCACACGCATATAAAAATTCAAGAGAATCAGATTTTTTGTATGGAAGACCCTAGAAAGAGAAAAAAACTATGAGACATAATACAATAAAAGCAATACACTAGGAAATTGAAAGTATAAAGATCTTTCCTTCTCCTGAATTATGGAAGATGAGATTACAAGAATTGACATTCACTGATGTGTGGTATTAGTTCAGCTGCAACAGCCATAACTTTAGTTGGTGGCTACAACAGTCGTAACTGGCTGCAAAAGTTGTAGCTAGCTACAAAATCCATAGTTGGTAGCTATAATAGTCGTATTAGTTGGCTATAAAAGCCATAGTTAGTGGGTACAACAATTGTAATTAGTTGCAATAATTGTTGGTGGTGGTCGACAATGGGTGGTGGTTATTAACCTAAACTTCTCCTCATGAGGTATGTTTTAGTTCTTAACTTGCTCTTATGTCCCCCTCTTTTGGTTCAAGTGAAGAATGTGGCAACCTATTTATAGTTCCTGAGAGTGACATTTCAAAAATTTTAGTCAGGATCTCAAAACATTTCATCTAACAGTCCACATTAATTTACTTGATCACAACTCATTTTTTTCAATATTTAAGTGCCTTAATGATGTCAAAAGATTCCTCTTGTCGAGCTGCTTAATTTGACTATAAGCATGCTAAATTCAGGTATTGTTTAGTCTTTCAATTAATGCACAAAAACCTATAAAAACACTTCAAGTGTCGGATCTGGGCTTATTTGAACTCGGATTCTATCACTCTCAATGTAATCGAGCTTGTATGATGCTCAGCATAAGTATAAAATTTTTGAAATCACAACTTAGGATCCTGAATTTGAATTTAAAGATCTTTTACCCAAAATGTATTGAGATGCATGCCTGCCGATATCAATTTCATAATGACATATGAAATATGGAT